TGACTTTTTATTTAGACAACATCTAGGAAGTACTTGGAAAAAAATAGTTATTCAATAACTTTCTAACATGAAAAAAAAATCAAATGAGAAATGTTGGACTGACAGGATTCTCACTTTCAATCTGGTTCTAGTGTGCGTTTATAGGTAATGACAAATCTTGTGGCCCTCTTTCGTAAATAGACATTAATAGAGAGATAGTTATAATCTTTTTAAAGACTTTCAAATTTGATTTGAAAATTGGGGATATAGAGGCACAGAAAGTAAAAGACAGAGAGAAAGAACTTCTATTCATTGATTCACTCTCCAGATAGCTATAATGGCCAGAGCTGGGCCATTTGGAAGCCAGAAGCCAGGAGCTTCTTTCAGTTCTCCCATGAGGATATAGGAGTCCAAGTCTTGGGACATATTCTGCTACCTTCCAAGACCATAAGCAGGGAACTGGATCAGAAGTGGAGCATCCAGGACTAGAAGAGATGCCCATATTTGACTCTGGTGCTTCAGGCAGATGATTAGCGTACTAAGCCACTGTACTGACTCTAGCTTTTAGCATCAGTTTTGGAAAGGGATAAACTAGTAGCTATTAAATGCTTAGTTACCTCATGTATAGCAGATACAGCTACCTCTTATCTTAAGTTAGGAGTGATATAGTATAAACTTTTGCAAAGCGAATTTTATTTTATTTCATATTAGAAAAAAATCTTTTTTTAGAAGATTGATTTATTTTTAATGAAAAGGCAGATTCACAGAGAGAAGGAGATATGCAGGGAAAAATCTTCCAGCTGGAGCTGAGCTGATCTGAAGCCAGAAGCCAGGATCCTCTCCAGGATCTCCCAAGCAGGTGCAGGGTCCCAAGGCCTTGAACCATCCTTTACTGTCTTCCCAGGTCATAAGCAGAGAGCTGGATGGGAAGTGGAGTAGCCAGAACATGAACTGGTATCCATATGGGATCCTGGCTTTTGCAAGGTAAGGATTTTACCCACTGAGCCATTGTGCTGGGACCAAAAAATTTATTTCTTAAAGGTCTCCTGTTAGAAATCCTTTGTGTTCTGACAAAGCAAGCTATGTTTTGCTTATTGCTATTTTTTTTTAAATCATATGTGCACCTCTGTGGGTTTTAGAAATAACACTGATGTTAGGTTTTTAGAAATTAAAAAAGCCACTTAAACAAACTTCCATGATTTTATGTAGTATCAAATTAAAAATAAAATATAACAACCTTAACAATTAAACTTAAGGTGAGATGTGGAACAGATTGAACCACTGCTCTGCTGCCAACATCCCATTGGAATTCCAGCTGCTCTGATTCCAATCCTGCTGTCTGCTAAAATGCCTGGGCAGGCAGCCGAAGATGGAGTGAGTGCTTGGGCCCCTGCCATCCACACAGGGGAGTCTGGTGGGATTTCAGGTTCCTGACTTTGGTCTGGGCTACCTTAGGCTGTTGGGGGCCATTTAGGGAGAATGAATCAGCATATGGAAAAAATTTCTTTTTGTTTCTCTGTTTCTGCCATTCTGCCTTTAAGATAAATACATGTTTAAAAAACTGTATTTCAAATCTTGTGACATTCAAAAGATTTGTAAAAAAAAAAAAAACAGTATTTTAAATCTGTCTTCTGATTCTTTGTATTGCTTGATTTTGTGAGAGGCGTTGAAGAATTTTGGTAGATGACTGCCAATCCAAGGTGAGAATTTATGGCCTTTCTCTACAGGAAATGAAGTCCTCATTTCTTCCAAGGACTAGACTGTCTCATTGAGAGTGTAAGGTTCACACTGCTTGCAAATTGCAGTTTCTTCTCCTCACTTCGAGGAGATGGCAAGATTTGTGCAAAGGAGCCTGACACCGACTTTTGGTGGTCTTACGTTACATGTAGCAGTAAGTTAGGATAGAATCTTTAAGCGAAAAATGTATTTGATTTTGTTTCTTGATTTTGAACAATTTTTGCTTTGTCATGAATACCATCAATGTTTTTCATCAAACACACATCATGGAAATCAAATAATTTTTAGGGCTGGCATTTTGGCTTAGTGAATAAAATCACTACCAGTAGTATTGGCATTCCTTATGGGCACCAGCTTGAGTTCTGGCTGCCCCACCTCAAACTAGCTCAGAGTTGATGCTTCTAGAAAAGCAGCCAAGGACAGACCAGGTGCTTGGGTCCTTGCACCCATGTAGCAGACCTGAAAGAAGCTCCTGGCTGCTGGTTTTAGCTTGGCCCAGCCCTTGCATTTGTGACCTTTTGTGAAATGAGTCAGCAGAAGCCAGATCTCTCTTTTTCTCTTCCCCCATGTCCTGTTGCAGGAGCTATCCTGTAACCGTGTATTTCAAATAAATAAAATAAACCTTAAAATGTATAAAATTCAGATGGGGAAGTGACAGGGAGTTTACTCAATCTCTTTGTTTCCCTATGTAGGCTCATTGTTCTGTGACTTTGTACTGCTTTATTAAATGCAGTAAACTTGGAAAAAATGTTTTGGTTGGGATGCACGTATGGGTGGTAAGGCTGCATGGTGGGTAGATCGCATCCCACCCTACCTCTTAGGGGACAACAATGATGGCCTGGAGACCTAGAACAGAACAAGATTGATTTTGTTTGGTTCCTTTGAAGCAAGTTGTTTGAAATCCTCTGGAGCTGGGTCAGGACTTATCAGCTCTTCAGGATAGGGAATGAAAGCCAACACCTGGGAGTAGGAGTCAGCCTCTCAATGCTCTGCCACCATGGACAAGGGTGAACTGTTCCAGAGCAGTGTGCCTCTGGCTCATGGTGATTCTCACATTTCTGAAAATGTGGCCTTTTGATCTGGTGTCTTAGGAAGTGTCCACGCTTTCTTTACTGAGCTGGTCTGAACCTGGGAAGACAGACTGGATTGGCCCTTTGCAATTCCAGGGTGTGCTATTCTGGTTAGATGATTTAGGCCAATCAGAATCATGCTGAGTTGGGATAATGAAACCCCAGAAAACCCTGAAGATGGCCTCTGGATCCCACATGTGGAAACGGAGAGAACTGAGTGGTACGACACATTTAGACTCATTTCCTAAGCATATATATTTATTTATGTCTTGCATGACCGCTTAGAACAATGACTTTTCCAGAATAAGTTCTCCAGAAACACAAATTGGATTAAGTCTGTAAAGTCAAGTATTAAGAATAGCTTTAGTTCTTGATTTCTCAGGGTACTGTAAGTCATGTCATCCCACAGTGCTCATCTATTCCCTTGTAAGAGGGTAATTGCTAACATATTTATTGGGATATCTACTGAAATCAGTTGAAATGAAAATTATGGCCATCATTATCATACATTTATTAATACAAGTCATAAAGATTGGTGAGAGACCTTTGGTTTAGAAATGAAAATACCGTAGAAAAATGTGTGTGAGTTTTTTGGATTTTATCAATTTCACATGGTATCTACTTACGGGTAGAACTCATGTATCCCACATGCAAGCTCTTAGCTCTGGCTTATTTAATCCCCTCATAATACAGGGATGTGTTTTACCTAGGAAATGCTGCTTATAAAATAGCAATAATGTATTATCTAATTCTGTGGGTTAGAGCATATTTTATAGGATAAATGAATCTTCCCATTTTTTTTAATTGATGAAGCAAAGCATCATTCAGCAAAGTCTATTTTTTTAAAAAAAGTGTTTATTCAGGTGACAGCCAGTCCCAGACTAAGAGAGATGGAAAAAATAACATCATTAAGAAAACAAGAAATTGCCCATAGTTTAATATTTCTGAGGAAGAAACGAGCTCTTACAATTTTCTGTATGTAGATAATTAAACTCCGACCTGTGCATAAATTCTGATGCGGTAAAACTGTCAACCAGGTAGCTTAATGACTCACCAATGGAATAAAATGGTGCATTTGAATAGGAGAAAAGTACGTGGATATAAACATTTGTCTTGTACTGAAGCAGGAAGATGGGCGAACAATGGGACCCACAAAGGGAGAAGCATTAGTCAGGAGCTTTACCATCCCAGCTCTGCTGGTAGCCAAGTCCTTGGGTGAAGAACCTGAGGTGCCCCCTTTCCCACCTGGAGAGAGCAGTGAGTCAGATGACCCATGTGGTCCCAAAGGAGCAAGAAGGCTCTCGTGTGACCCATGTGGTGAGCCTAGGGAGCAAAGAAAGATCCTAGAGATGCTAAAGAGCTGTGGTCCTGGCTTGGAGGGAGGAGCAGGTGCAGGCATTGTTTCAGAGTCATCCTTACATTTACGTCCCAGGAAGACCTGGTAAATGTAACCTATGTGTGGCAGAGGTACAAATAAAATAACACAGAATCTGGTTTTAAGTCATTGGGGCATTCTTAGCATCCCAAGAACCCTTTTTGGTAAGACAGTGGAGACGATCTACACTGCTCAACTTCCTCCTCGTTCTAACACTAACAAAATTATTTTTGGTAGGGATTCAGAACAGCAGAGATTGCAATCTAAATGATGTTCTAAAATTTTATTTTAGATAGATACCCATCGTGTGACTTAGATCCATTGGGCTAACTTTTGTTCAAGTGCAATATATAGCACTCGGTTGAAAGTCATCTTGGAGTCTGCATTAATTTCCAAGTCAACAGACCTGGAAGAATCAAGGTTTCTCTAATAGTAAAATAATTATCAACAAAAATTCTAAGTTAAAGAATTATTTCTATTTCTTTTGTTTTGATGCAATGTACCTTCATTCTGCTATTTTTATGGTGGTTGCATTGTTCACCTAAACCAGGGTAAACCTCTCCCCAAAACATGTTCACAGAGACATCCACACAGAAAAATAAATATGTTGTTCCTTCAAATGGTCTCTATCTCAGAATGGCAACTTTTCATTGATTTGTATTGTATTTTAGTAATGTTTTTAGACAGCCACTCATTTTTCTGTGAATGGAACTTGATGTGTTACATGCTTTTAAGGAGCTGAAAATAAATTTTTAGGAACGATAAAATCCATTTTGATCAGCGAGAAATTAAGCATCTTTTTGATGTTACAGTTAAGACTTCAAGAGTATGAGAGCAAGTTTAGAAAACATTTTTATTAGACAAATTATGTAGACAAATTATACACAGAAAGCTCTGCCACTCATAACTGAGGCCTCCAAAAATGTTTTGTGTATTTGTATAATAGGCAATACATCAAAATAAGCCTATTTTAAATATTGTACATGGTTAACAGATTGTTGATAGCTAAAATCACTGCAACATCTGGTATGTCCCTATAGAGCTTGTCATAAAGATTTTTTGTTTGTTTTTAAAATCAGAGTTTGTGAATGAGATCATGAGTGTTACAAGGGAAAACAAGTTGTGCATGCTCTTAGGTACTTGTTACCCTGGAAACGAAATGGTTTTTGCGTGATAAGAAATTTTTCTGCCTTACACAGTAGACAATATTTGAAGATTTAGTACAAAACAGTGACAGTACAAGATGCTCCCCAGAACAGAATTAGCATCAAAATAGAATATACCTTAAGAATATACCTTTTAATTTCTCCTAAAGCAAATCACATAGGTTGATTCCTCTATCAATCCTAGCCACAGACTGAATGAGATTAAAATACAGGTATGGCTGCATAAAAACACAGGATAAGTGCTTGCCTCCTACTTACCACATTTGAATGTAAGGGTTACAAACAAAGTTCATTCTACATTTCTAACAGGTAAGAATGCTGCTTTAAAAGGGCGTGCACACTGAGGCACTGTTTTTGCTGTCATCCTTCTATACAGTTGGCACTAATATAAAAAAAATACATAACTCCTCCCAATAGGGCTGAATGAAAAAGGGGGTGGGGTCAAGCAGAGGGGCTGGGGTGGTTATTACATTTTCTTCTTTAGCATAATGTGCGATGGCAATTAAGGCCACATCAATGCTTCGTATGGGCTCTCACCCTATAATACAATTATTATATCAATTGGCTTACTGCTTTGGGAGAGGATTTTTTTTAACCTTCTGCCTTGAAAACTCTTACAGAGCTGTAGGTGCTGCTGTGGGTGTGGTTCAGCTAGTAGCATTTTCCAGTCATAATTAATTAAAAGTAAAATGATTGGTGTTAGGCTTTACACACTGCAGAATAACAATCGCAAAAACCTATTCAGATGAGTTACATCTAGGAACAAATATTAAATTGCCCTGGATGTTTTATTAACAAAAGTCTAAAATATCTTCTGTTGGCAAACAATGTGAGTCAGAATAACATTAAAGCAACCTGCCTTTTCTAACCAAAAAGGCCTCCTGCACTATACATTGTTCCTGTATACAATACTTGCATTTTTAAAACTAAAGCTTTATTAAATGAATTGCAATAGCAATGGCTGCCTTCTTATATATAAATATATATATACACATTATATCGGTGCATATATATATGAGATACTAATTTATTCAACACAATAGAGGCTTCAGCCATAGGATCAAGTTTACTGTACATAAGAAAAACTTGTAATACTGTACAATCACATGAAGGTCATATGCACTGTTGCAGTGCGAGAGTAGTTTTAACTGTAGTCTTAACTGGCGTATTAATGGCTTTTTTTTTTTTGTAATCCTACAAAATTGCATTCTCATATTCTGTGGCCTGAATGGTCTTTCAATGGTTGCATCAACACCGCCTGGTTTGTCTTTAGCCCACAGTTCAAGGACACTCAACAGCAGTTGGGGCGTTGTGTGGATGCAGCAGAAGAATGTAGAAAGACTCAAGTTATTGCGATTATCTTCTTAAAAATAGAGCAATGTTACGTTAGAGGCCTGTATGTAAAATTAATCCTGCATATACTTCTTAGTATACTCAGTGCACATTTCCTATACTTGAAGTACAGTATATGAAAAGCAGACTACTAGGATCCTAATATGCTATATTCTGGGGGAGAACGAGTTGAGTAATGAAAAAAAGTCGAAGCAAATAGAGGAGAACTTAGGGAAAAAAGAGAGAGAGAAAGCAATAGAGAGAAGAAGGAGGGAGAAGGTGGGGAGAAGGAACTAGAATTGTTACTCATCATCCTGTTTTGCTTTTTGTTTTTTTTTCTCCTTTTTTAAAAGTTACATCCATGTTAGTCCCACAATATTACAGTTGCTCCTTGCAAAGGGAGTCCTAAAAAACAAAAGAAACAGTGAAGAGAGATTGTTGGCTGCTCATATGGAGGTGCCTCGGTCTGGATCATTGCCCAGATTGAGCCCCAGGGTAGGAGTTGGTTGATAAGGTATAGATGACATTGTTTTGATCGGACTCCTGAAAAAGCCCCCGTTAGGGGCCCTGTGCCTAAAAGGGCCAGTTCGGTGCTCAGGCACGTTGCCAAAAGCGAACCCGGAGGCAGCTTTAGCGGACAGTGTGCGGCTAAGAGTCTGGATCTGCTCTGGGATAAAGGTGGTGGTGGTGATGTGAGTGTTCCTGAAATCACTGATCTGCTCCAGGGCTTGTCGTGTTGGCAAAGTGTCAATGTCCAGAGGGGTCAAGTCAATTGACGAGGTGGAAAACTGTTTATGGGGACTGTCGTCATCTGTGCACAAGCTATTTACACGTCTATGAAGGTGCTCCAGGTCAATTTCCTTGTCATCCTGGAGATGAAGAAAAAGAGATAAGGTTCTCATCAGTACTAGCTTCCATGGCAAAAAAAAAAAAAAAAAAAGTTCAGCAAACATGTGATGAACTGAACTCTGGGATTTCTCCATTTAACAAATATTTATTGAGCACCTACTATGAGGCAGGCATTGTGCTAGGCTCCGGGGGTACCCACATGATTCACAGGTCAGTTTCTCTCCCGGGAAGTGTTTGGTTATTTTTATTATCTGCAGTAGGAGTTCTGAAATGAGCATACGCCACATGCAAGTACAAGGATGGGGGGCAGCAGATGTGGTAACCATCCTCTCAGATAGACCAATCAAAACGTCCGTAGCTACAAAGTAAGGTTTTTGGTACCCACTTCCTTCTTGTGCATACATCTTCTGATGCTACGTCTTAACTCAAGTTGACTTTTTATCTCTCACCTTAATTTTCCGGTTTTACAGGAAAAGGATACCACCTGCTATCTTAGTACGGTGTTAGCGACTGATAAAGCATTATTTCTTGTAGGCCAGAGACATACTTTTTTTTTCTTTTTCTTTTTAACAAGAGCAACATTCAACACCAGAGAATCGGTTTCTAATGGAGAGATTTCCTTCCCTTGAGGTCCCTCATCTCTCTCACCCAGGCGAGGCTGTGATTTCAGCAGCACATTCAGGGCCACTTCAAGTCAGGACATGAGCGTGAGAGTGTTCTTGAAGGCCAGTGTTGTGTTCAACGACCGCTAAACTAAAGATGCTTTAAGCTGTGCTAATGACGTTTGGGGCAAGACAGCGTCATAAGCAAAAAAGGAAGTCAAACCTCAGATTTCACGAGTTGAAACCAATATGAAAATCTCTTAGGATTTTCACTAAAAGTGAATGTTAAAAAAAAAAAAATCAATAATTGAGAAAGAATGCTCACAAGAAATAAGAAAGCCCTTATTGTCACCCTTAGTTATAGCCAAGCTGTGTAGATTAAGTTTATGAGCATTTTTAGTGACTCAATTATTCAGAAGAGGCGAAAACATTTGTTCATAACATTTAGATGAGCTATCACGAGTTAGAATGGGGTATGTAGGGTTTCTTTTTTATTCATTGTGCTGCTATAGTATTATTCAGTGAAAAATATTTTGATTGCAACGCTCTTTTTCCTTCTCCTTTCTCATTTCAAAATCCAATGAAAAACAGCCATTTATGCAATATTATCACTGAGACGTTAGAGGGTTGAGACTTAGAACTTTATGGTTCACACAGCAACTGTAGTCATCCATCAACATCTGTAATAATGCAAAATTGTTCAAAATATTAGGGGCTTGGGGAGTCCTTAATTTCCAGATTTTTGAGAATATGAAGTCTCAGCTATAATCTTGCATTCTTATGGTCTTTTGCAATGAATCAATGTTAACAGAGATACGAAAGTTTATTCCACAAAGAAAGCATTATAGTAACCCCTGACTAAATTTTGATGCACGCCCCATTGATTTAGAATGTATGCTCATTCACACAGGGCAGAAGCTACGGTTTGTCTTTGTCAAACCAAGCTTTTCTTTACAAGTGGGTCTGACCAATTTTGCATATAAGGTCATAAGGAGTCTTTATTACTTCTGAAAGAATACATCAACATGCAAAAATGCACATGCAAATGAGTAGTCTTTCTACTACTCACCCTGGTCATTGGTTAGTCAAGTTTCATCTACAGAAAGTTTAAACCTTTCTTTGAAACTTTCTATCCAATGAAATCACTCAGCAAATTACGGTTGTTTTTCATTTCAATTTGCGAAGCTTCGGTGAATGTGATTTCATTAGTTAAAATTTGCACCATTTTTGATCCACAGAAAATAGAATATGTGAATCAAGAAGTTTAATTCAGATTTTTTTATGATAATCTATGAATTCTGTAATTTAGAATGAAAACAAGGCACAGTCCATTTTGGAAGTGATTATTCTGCAATTATTCATCGAGGTAGCTAAAATGAAAATTGAATGTGACCCTGGGTTTAAGTGTACCCAACCATAAAGGAGAAAAGATGGCTCCGAGATGATCGCATGGAATAAAGTTGCTAAGTTTTGAGTCATGGAAGAAACAACTTATAATCACTTCCATGTGTATCCATCTAGATGAAGGCAGCAGCTTAAGGGTGAAGAGACAATTCTGGCTTTTTTTTTTTTTTTAAATTACAGTATTGCATTTCTGGGGCCCTGTCTTAGACAAACAAGTCCTTATCTACAAGTTAAACACCTACTTGACATAAAATGACAAGCGTCTATGTGAACTGGAAAAGGCAATCCGGCCTGTGAGAGCCGTTGAATTAAAGCCTGTTTTTTTTTTTTTTTTCAATCAGGCGCATTTCAAAGTCCATCAGGTACAAAAAAATGGCCAGGTTTGCAAGTCATATTGTCTCCTCTTCACCTTTTTGATTTGCGCTGCCATTGAACTTGGTACTGGCCTTCACAATTTTCATAGATCACAGATTGGCTTTTGTTTCCCAAACAGATGAGAAACAATGCCCAGCCCCTCCAGCTCATGACAAGGCCCCCTCCTCTGTGCTCTGGGATCTCCCCGCGTGTGCTGTTTCCACCTGGAGCCAGAGCTCGCCATCAAGTACCTCTTTCGAAGGGACCCGGGAGCCTTTCCTCTTGTTCCACCACGTCTCCAGCATGGCGATGAGGCAGGAGAGCACGATCCCAGCTGCCAGGATGCAAAAGACGCCGGCGAAGCTCTTGATGTCCAGGGCGCCTCCTTTCTGCTTCGTGTCGACCGAGGAGTACAGGTCACACTGGCCGTTCTTGGGCCACCATTTGTGTTTCAGGATGTCCATGTCACCATTCTGCTGGAGTTCCAGGATCCTGGGGTCAAGAACACAGCCATGGGTTACTGTAGACGTAGTTGTGACCTCGGGCGCCAGGACATCGGTTAGCCTGCCTCTGTGTGATGGCAGGTGTCCTGGGCAGAAGGCTCATGCCTCAGTTTGTAGGGCGCGAGCTTGGCGGAGCTGTTCCCCAGCACTGGCTCTGCTGCTGGCCACGTCCTGGCCGTTGGATTTCACTCTCTGCTTCTCGATATGCCCTGGGTTTGTTGCACTTTCACAGTTCCCTTCACATGGAATTATACACTCTGAAGTTTAACACTTGCATGAAGAACATTGTGCACCTTCGAGCAAGGCCCTGGCATACTTTGCCTGTATGGGCTATATACGAAGAAATTCAATTTAAGAAGATTTCTATTATTTAACAGAGTGAGGAAGAAAGCCTTGGGACAAGTTTGAAGTTGATAAAAATACATTGTTTCGGGTTTAGCACACAACTGATCTACTTTCCCTTTTGATGCCAAAGGGAAAGGGATTTTTACCTTTAAGAATGAGCAAGGGGGCCCAGTGCAATAGCCTAGTGGCCAAAATCCTTGCCTTGAACACATCGGGATCCCCATCCAGCTCCCTGTTTGTGGCCCGGGAAAGCAGCCGAGGACAGCCCAGCACCTTGGGATCCTGCACCTACATGGGAGACCCAGAGGAAGCTCCTGGCTCCTGGCTTCAGATTGGCTGAGCACCAGCCATTGCGGCTGCTTGGGGAATGAACCATTGGATGGAAGATCTTCCTCTCTGTCTCTCCTCCCTGTGTATCTGTCTTTCCAATTAAAAAAAAGAAAAGAATAAACAAGAAAGATGACCAGAGGCCTTCAGAATTAGTTGAGTTCCAGTAATAAGCACCACTTCTCCATCTCTGTCCTCAGTGTTCAGGGGTAGCTGCCGAGGCCTCAGTTTTTCACAGTGTGAGTTGTGGAGGAGATATTCTGGGGTTCTCCCTCAGGCTTGCCTAGTTCTGGCCCTCTTCCAGCCATGACTGCTCTCACAGGTGACAAGGGTGAGGCCAGTGATGGTTCCCTTCTGGGGTGCACACCATCCTTATGGGTGCTTGGAGTTTCCTGGCCAAACAGCTCAGTGTAGACTTTATGATTAGCAGTATATTCAAAGACAAGAGAGTGTGGTGCTTGGAGACACAGTGGATGTGAGAACGTGGGTACAGACCCCCGTGTGTGTTTGAACCCACACTGGGCAGGAACCAACTGGAAGTGGGAAGAGAAGGGGCAGAAGGCTGACAGTAATGCTCCCAGGTCAATCATTACCTTGAACCTGACGTACAAGGGTCATGAAGAAAATAGAGCATATTTTATTGAGTACTTTTAGCTGGATGTCTGCATTTCTTCAGGGTGTGAGCCTACCTTTATGCTCTTGCTTTGGGTCTTGGAGCATTTGGAAGGCGACTGCTCAGAACTTAGAAAGAAGAGTTGAGCTCATTTGGAAGGAATAGATCTCTTACTGTGAGTGGGTATCTTTGTCACCTCTTTGATGTCACTCGTAGCTAGACAAATGAGAAGAATAATGTATAGGGGATGATTTCTGTATACCCGTGGTGGGATCAGCACTGGCCCTGAGTTAAACAGGAGGGGGAAATCTCACATTCCATATTCTCTCTTGAAGAGAGGACCACACTGCCCTGTGGCTTCCTCTACAAGGTAAAGCCAGTCTCACCATCAAATTGGCCTAATGCTGTACTGTATGAAAGCATGGCTTTCAAAGGAGCAGTTGTTTTGAATTACTGAATGCCATGAAAAAGATGATAGAGCCAGGGGTGTGGCACATTGGTTAAGCCACCACCTGCTATTTCACCATCCCCTGTGAGTGCTGGTTCAAGTCCTGGATGCTCCACTTACAATCCAGCTTCCTGCTAAGGTGGTTGGAAAGTCAGCAGAAGAATGATTCCTCAGTATTTGGCCTCTGCCACCCACACGGGAGAGCTAAACTGTTGGTTTCGGCATGACCCAAATAAAATAAAATGAATATTTAAACAGAAATTATGATGCTCAGTGGATCCCATATCATTTTTATTCCAGCTTCTATCTCAGCCAACATCATTTGCGTTTCCAGTTTCTAGCAGTGTCTTCCATGGGAATCAAACTCTGTGAGGTCCTCTCTGGGAGAAGAACCCTGGGATTGTCAACTTCAGAAGGCAGCATCTTGATCTTTTGTGATTTTTTAGAAGGGTCTCTCAGGTCATTTCATGCTACATGTCTGCAAACAGTTAAGTCCCCAAGGACAACCACCAGGACCAACATGTTGTCAATATTGGCTTTGGCAGAACGCTCACCTGTCTGCTTGGAAACCCTAAAATCTCAGAGAAGTATCTTGTTCTAAAGAGAGTAGCCTAATGTGCCTCCCCCAGGTTGGCTTGCAGTCTGAGGAAGGTGTGTGCTGAGGTTGGGGCTGAGCAGGACAGGATCACACAGCACAGACATGCTGGGAAAAGGCTTTGTACCAGGAGGAAGGCAGAGACACTGGCCAGCAGGCAGGACGGAGTACTGTCTCAGCAGGCCCCTCTGCCTCATTGTCACCAGGCCTGCCTAGGGACATTGGACTTAAGCCTAGAGGAGGCAGCACAGTTGTCTGCATGCCTAGAAAGGATGTGACCAAGTTTAAGAGACTGCCCAACTGTTCCACCATCCTCCAGGAAACACAGGGACTGCCTCCCGTATTTCAATCACAGGGGTGAAAAGGGAAAGCATTGTTACATTGTTAACACTGGAAACTCAAGTGGTTTTAAACAATAAATGCTCTAAGTAACAACAACAAATGAAAGAAGCACCACTTGGAAAAGTTACAAAGACGCCAGCCTAGTAAACACTCTAAGATGTTAGGAAGGAAAGCCTGTATAATCATATGACTTTCGTTTCTCAAGCTTACCTGCATCTGATTCTGCTTTTGTCTCTTTCCTGCCCAAGGGACAGATAATAATAACCCAGGGGATGGGACTAGGTTTTGAGGAATATATTTGTGACATAACACTTTGACCGAGAAACAACTACAGAATGGGAATTTCTGGCCCTGTGTTGGGAATCATGTGAACACAGAGTCCAGGAGTCAGGGTTACTTGCTTAATCAATTGATGATTTACATGCCACGGGTGCTGCTGATGGCTGGGAACTAACCTTCACTTCTATTGGCAAGTGTGCTGTTGTAGACAGTGGCTGGACAACGCACGCCTACAGGTGACAATCCTGCGTTGTCCACTTGAAAGCTCAGTTGATAAGGTAGCTCTCACGTTGTGTTCTTAGCAACCCAGCAATAATAACAATAAAGCAAAGTCTTTAGATATTTGCCTATTAAAAGGCACAGGGCAGTCAGATGCCATTGCATGCTCTGGAAGAAAATTTGGATATTTTTGAAGAAACAGTTCTGGATAAATTGGAGTTGATGAGTAAATGCAGATATAGAGGAAACTTATAGCAACACAACCATGTCATAAGAACGTGGATAGCCGCCAGCATCCATGGTGGGTTTAGCAGCAGGATCCTCCTGCAGGCAGCAGCATCCACCATTATGCAAATCTCCTGGGTGAAAGGGCGTTGAACCCATGAACCTCTAATGTCCTTTAAAGCATCCTTACATTACCTGAAACACCTAACACAAAGTAAAAGCTTGCAAATAGTCCTACTGCCCTTTGTTGCAGGTGTACTGACAAGAAAATAATAGTGTGTATATGTTGCATGGAGATATATTTTTTAAAAAGATTTAATTAGTTTTATGGTAAAATCAGATATACAGAGAGGAGAAGAGACAAAGAGGAAGATGTTCTGTCCAATGATTCACTCCCAAAGCAGCTGCAATGGCTGGAGCTGAGCCAATCCGAAGCCAGGAGCCAGGATCTTCTTCTGGGTCTCCCACATGTGTGCAGGGTCTCAAGGCTTTGGGTCGTCCTTGGACTGCTTTCCCAGGCCACAAACAGGGAGCTGGATGGGAAGTGGGGCTACTGGGATTAGAACTGGAACCCATAAGGGATCCCAGCGCATGCAAGGTGAGGACTTTAGCCACTAGGCTACCGTGCTGAGTTCATGGAGACACGTTTTTACCCCAAGTGTTTTTATCTGCAGTTTGTTGCATCCACAATGTAGAATGCATGGATAAGTTGGGCCGACTATGTATTTGGGTATGCAGTGAGACCCAAGATCCCGTGTTCTATGCATGGCATGTTAAAAAGGTTGGCATCTGTGAAGGCAGAATGGGTTTCCCTCAGAGGACTTTTCCTCTGTCATAACCGTGGTGACTGGTTCACGTCTGAGCCCCTTGGTGGGCATCCTCCATCTTCCGCGTTGCTCAATCCAGAACAAGTGCCCATTTGCTGATGGAGCAGGAGCAGCACCGTGTGTGCTCAGTAATTCCTACCCTGATGTGTTGCTCTTCTATTATCGGTGCTATTTAGTTAATTTATCTCATTCCTTTCCTCTTTTTTCTTTTATTATTTACATAAAGTGAACACATTTCTCATATTTAATTTTTAAAATTTTACTTGTTTTTTTAACGTTTTTTACATAGTTGAGAGAGTTGCACACCCATATGGGTCTTTGATTAGGATGGGGAAGATCGAAGTATGGAAGAAGGTGGGTGGGAAAAATGGCTTCCCCCCCCATATCCCTAAGCAGGGAAGGGGAGGGAGCCACTCCTTGCTGTCCAGCTGTATGAGCACCTGGGGGAAGGGGATGGTCATTTGATGATGCCTTAAAGACCCCAATGTGGCATGGGTGTTCTGAGGGTGTTACTTGAATGGTTTTGACAGTTCTGAGATGTTGTTGGCTTCATTGCACCAGAGTTGAGAAAATCTTTCCCAGGTCCATTGGCTCGCTAAGTCTGCCATAGTACATCCAAATGCACGAAAACATGCCACAAAGCGTGGCCTGCCAGGAGCGTGGTCCAACCTGTTCTGCTCGTTGCCCTTCCCTGTGTGCATCTGGGCATGCTGACCACTGTACAGGCATCAGCAACTGACAAGGCCCAGTCCAGATACATGCACTCCAA